TGATTTGTTTTTTCAAACTTTTGTTTTGAATTTTTTGATTTTCATTTTTTTTTGTCTTTGACACAGTTTTTTTTTTCATAACTTTTTTATTTTCTTTGTAGATTCACTTAATTTAATATTTTTTATTTTTTAATTTTACTTTTAAATCTAAATACACTTAGAAAATAATTTGTTGTGTATTTTTTAAATTTTTTTATTAATATTAAATAATAATAATAATAATAACAACAAAAAATATATAATAATAAAAAATTATCACATGTTCGAATTTATAATTTTTTTTATCGATATTTTACTTTTTAATTCTATTTAGATTATTAGATATTAGATTTTCATGTAAAAGTATAATTTAAATATAAAATTTGAAGAAATTTTAGTGTCTTTAATTATCAAAACTGAAAAAATATAAAAAATCAAAAACTAAAAAATAAATTTAAAAAATAAAACAACGAAAGTGGTTCTTATTTAGAATTTTGACATCATACATTGGTTATTAAAGTACCATGTAATATATTACAATTCATAAAATATAATTTAAACAATAAGAAAATGTATGAAGATAACCTGCAAATTTTTGAGATACAGCACAAATTTCTATTTTAAATGCACATGCTTTTTCCTCTATCTAAATTCGAATGGATGCATATAATTTTAAGATTCAACCAAAATTATTTACAGTGATTTAATGCGTGATGGACAATTATAAATATGATGTATATCAGTTTAGAAGCAGGCACAGAAAATTAGAAAGAATAATTATTTTTTATTCTTCAATCATTATTAATGTAAAAAATAAGGAATGAACTTTTTTTTTTAATAAGAAGAGAGACGATTTGTTTATATTTATATAAGACTCTTGGAAGCAGATATATCGTTTTTGAGTATTCAACTCTAAAAATGAAGAGATAGTTTATATGGGACTCTAGATGAGTGTTAGAAAATATAGTAGATTTGAGAGGGTAAAATTGAGATTAAAAACAATAAAAAAACGTGACAAATTTTTCACACTTTTATAATAGCAATAATAATAATAGATGATTTGATCATGTATTAGCGTAAATATGGGTAAATTCAACGATAATAAAGAATGATATAACTATAAATAAAAAAATGTTAAGAATGGCATAATCATTTGTCATTATTTATTTATTTTATATGTTTCCTCCATTTTTATTACGATTTCGTTTTCTTTTATGTTTGTTCAACAATAAGTCTTATCCGTATATTATCCTCTTTATTTTTATTTATTCATCTTTCATTAAAGATGTAAATGTATTTTTTGAATGAAAAGATGTAAATATATACGAGTGTATTTTTTTGTCTGTTTACTCATATTATGGGATAATTATATCTTGGATTTTTAATTAAATATTGTTATGAAAATAGTATGTAATTTGTATATGAACAGCAAGTGAATAGCCAAGAAGAAGATGAGCAGAGGCTGAGAAAAGGGAAAAAGTTTGGGATTATAACTCTCTATATTTTATTTCACAGTTCTCAAGCTATTTATAAGCCAAATAAGAACACTAGTTGTAGACACTCCATTTTTGACCGATTTTAAGACTCAGACGTCATCGTTTGTGCACTCGATGATTGTGCATGTTTGTGCTCGTTTTAAGTGCCCGAAGTTTTCGGCGGAACGCCTTGTCTTTGAGCCTCTAAACCCTCTTTGTTTTGTGCTTGTTTTTGGATCAAACCTTGGTGCCTCTTGCCTAGAGAGGAGAAGGGCCTTGTCGGCCACTTTTCCCCCTTGTCAGCCACTTGAAGTGGTCGGTTGGCTAGGAGAGGTGGTCGGCCGGCCACCTAAAGTGGCCGAGGACCATTTTTCTCATTTTTCAAATATTTTCTTAGCCAGCTGCGCCAGCTGTTGATCACTGAGTGCCATCTCCATACACATGTATGGAGGGATGAATGCAAGCCTTTGGCTTGCATTTCTATATAATAGGGGGGGTATCTCCCCCATTTAGGGGGTTAGATAATTTTGTGAGCAAATTTCCTCTCTCTCTCTCCTTATTTTGTGCTTGAAAGTGGGAATTCTCCACACTTTTGCAAAGAGACCCTTAACCAAACATTCTCATGTTGGAGTTGAGGTTCTTGGAGGCCTAATTTGAGCTTTTAAGGTTGGTTTTAGCTCAGAATTGTGGTTGTTTAATGCTGTGCTTCAAAGGTATAAGGCTTACCTCATTTAAGCTTTGTTTTAGTTGCTTACTTTGCCATCTTTTTGCACTATTTTTGTCATGGTTTTCAACTACAAAAAACTCTGATTTTTCAGCCTTAACATGTTGGTTTGAAGTTATTTTATGCTAAGGGGTTGTTTACCCCTCTTGTTGTTTGTTTGTGTGAGCTTTTGTGTCATTTCCAGGATTGTTCGAAACCGTATGTGTGCGTAATGAATCCCTAGCTCCTGACGAAACTAGGACAGGGAAACCCTACCCCACCATAGGGGTGTTTTGGCTCTCATTTGCTTGATATGTGCTTTTAGAGTGACTCTGCAGGAATGCATGTATCAGTTGCTAGTCTGGGTATCAGCTTGAGAGTATCGGTTTTGAGACAAAAATTTGGGACAAAAATTAGTGTTAGAGTACAGATTGTCCAGCTTATGATTTCAACTATGTGTTGTCCTTGCCTAAGCCGAGATGTTGTGCGTTTGCTGATTATTGTTTCTTTTTTTGCTTTATTTTCGTTTTGCAAGGTAGTATTTCACAATTGCTTCTGACGAGGCAGTTTTCCCCCGAGCACTCTGGACCAGAGTCAGGAGGATTTACCGATCTGAGGATTTTATTAGAGGACAACCAGTGTTTGCTTCGCTACCCCCGGTTACAAGAAGGAGGACAGTCAGGCATAAATCACCGGCTCAGCAGTCCCCAATTCAACGGTCACTATCTGCTTCACCTATGCGCAGTTGGGCCCAGTTTTCTGCTTCCACCTCAGAAAGAGAGTATACACCTATTCTGACAGATCAGCACCCCTCAGACAGTATGGAGGATATGATGTGTCAACTTCAACAGACCATCGAGGCCATGTAGCGGAACACTGCTTGCCAAGCGGAAGTTACTACTCACCAAACAGAGATTGTAGCCTAGCAGGCTGAACTGATTACTAGGCTTCAATAGCAACATCAACAACAACCGCAGCAGGCAACAGCTTCTGCATCCCACCATCTCTTGTAGACATTCCAGTACCCAGAGCTCTTGCTCCCACAGCCAATGTCCAGGAAAATGCGGACATTCTAGTGGATCCAATTCCACCCCAGACTTCCAATGCACTAGCCTACCGAACGGAGACCCCCTTTGAGTTCTAGGTCGACTCCACTACTTTGAAAGTGAGCAAGCTTGAGAAGCTTTTCAAACGAGCTCAGGGTGTCAACTCGATCCCAGATATAGAGGATGGCTATACAAATTCGGCGGTGACATTGCCGGATAGATTTAAAATGCCTCACATAGACTACTTCGATGGTTCGGGTGATCCCATAGTCCACCTGCGGCTATTTTCAGATATTTTGCGGCCGATGGGCCTGACTAGATTGCAAAAGCTATCCCTCTTTGGCCAGACCTTGTCGGGTATTGTGGCTATTTGGTATGCTAAACTGGAAGATTCTGTGAAAAGGAGCTCGGAAGAGATGGTCGAGGCCTTTGTCACCCAATATTCTTATAACACTCAAATCGAGGTCACAACTCATGATCTAGAGGCTACTTGACAAGAACTGAAGAAGGGCTTCTCTGACTTCATTACTCGGTGGAGGGCTAAGGCCTCCATGATGACCACCAGGCCAGCTGAGAAGGACCAGATAAGAATGGTCGTCCGTAATCTGCAACCGAAGTTACTGCAGAAGATGATTGTCTTACCCCTACCTACATTTGCCGACCTTCATGAGATAGGGGTGCAGATAAAGGATGCGATGAAACAGGGTTTGATTTACCATGAAAAGGAGCAGCCCAAGAGGGCTTTTACACGTAGTTCAAATGCAGTTACGAGTAGCAACGCACCTGTAAGGACTTCTGATGTTGGTATGGTCACTACCACACTGAAAATAGCCACCCCTTTTACTGGTACATCCGGAACCACCCCACAACCTGCAAAGTACCCACCCCGAGGCTAGAGGGTATTCACCTCACTCTACATGTCTCTGTCTGCGGCTTTAAGGGTCCTAATCAGAAAGGTGTATCTGAGGCCGCTGGAGCCGCGCTCATTGCCTAATCCCCTCTCTCCTACACACAACCCGGCCAAGTATTGCGCCTTCCACCAACAGCATGGTCATGACACCGACCTATGCTTTAGACTCCGTTATGAGATTCAGGATCTCATTGACAACAAAGTGATAGCGCCTCCTGAGAAGCCTAACGTCACTACAAATCCTCTCCCACCACATAACTAACCCCCTCTTCCACCCAGGCAAGTAAACCTTATCCAAACAATGGTCGTCCCATACGACCCCAACATATACATCACTCTCTCCCACCTGCCTAAGCCGGCGCTGTTCATCCCAGAAAGCTCAGATTTGTGCATGATGAGCACGTCCATGTCCCAACCCGAACCCGTGGTGGTGGTTGTGGTAGAAGAACGCATGCTTGAGGGCTTTGTGAGCTTAATTGGGAAAGCATACAACCCCTGTCGCTACACTGTGCCAGTTGATTAGGCCAAGCCAATGGTGGAATTGCCGATGGGGACATAGGTTAATGTAGTCCGGGAGGACGAGCCAAGCCAGGGGATGGATGATATAGCTAAGCTTGAGGAGGACATCAGTAATCTGCAGTTCTTTGATGAACAGGATCTAGAGAATGTATAGATCGGTTGGTTTGATATGAACGGATCAAAAGAAAATACAGGGTGGCTCAGTGATAAGCCGGATGTTGATGAGGGGTCTCAACCAAAGCAGGGACAGTTGGAAACAGGAACGTCTGCAACGGCTGGAATGGTCGACAACAAAAGGAAGTTGCCGGAGAGCACCGATACTAAGAATTTTGCTTAGGAATTGGGTAACTTGTGTACAATTGATACAGAACAGGAGGCCACACTAAAGTGGTTCGAACAGGAAAGAACTGAGATTGCTCAGAAAGCTAGAAAAGCCAAAGGTCCTGAGGGACTGACTGTGTTGCGGATACAGGAATCCCTACAATGGAACCGGACAGTTGTTTGTAGGTTGCCGAGGGAATGTGGTGGGAAGATGAAGATTTGCATCTCGCCCGCACGGATGAGGATTGGGGACAAAATCTACCAAATGATACATGGTATGCCGAGGAAGTCGATCACATAACTCGGGGTGGGCCGTACTTTAAGCCCCCAAACTTGGACCGACTAGAGACGTCAGGGAAAGATAAGGAAGCTGAGAAATAGAAAGAGAAACTGTTAGAAGAGGAAGCTATACTGAAGTAGTTGAAGAAAATTCAGGCAGATATCTCCATTTGGGGTTTGCTCATGGCTTCAAGGGTGTATAGACAAGCTGTCCTATCAGCAATGGATAAGGCTAAGCTCTCGATTGACACAACCCCCGAGTAGTTAGTGGGACTGGTGTTCCCGGGAGGCGCTTTACCGATCTTGACTTTCACAGATAAAGAATTGCCACCTCAGGGCTCTGAGCACAACAAGCCATTATACATCTCTGTGGAATGTAAAGAAAAGTGGATACCAGTAGTCTTGGTTGATACCGGGTCTGTAATTAATGTGTGTCTGTCGCGCAAGGCTTATGCTATCGGTTCGAAACCGGCAGACTTTGTACCAACAACCCAGGTGATTCAGGCTTATAACAATACAAGTCAGGAAGTGATAGGGATAGTGCGGATCAGAGCTTAGGTTGGCCTGGTACAACAGGATATAGAATTCCATGTCCTGGATGTCCCAGCCACCTTTAATTTACTCCTTGGACGGCCGTGGCTGCACCAAGTGAAAGCTGTCTCTTCCACTCTATATCAGATGCTGAAATACCCCCATAGCAAGGGGGTAGCTATTGTTTTTGGAAACTTTTCCATGCATCTGCCGCTGGAGGTTACTATACCGGTCTTGAAAATTGTACATGGCGAGAGGATGTCTTTTTGTCTAGGTTCACCTTGGCCGAGGCACGGGTAGTGCAGGATATTCTGGCTATTGATGAGGGACTGTATGTTAGTGCTCAATTCGTCTACCTTATGAATAAGCTGCAACATATACCCGGCATGGGATTGGGAAGAATCGGCCGAAAGGGCGTTGCTGCGTTGGCCGAAATGCCACACAACCCTTATACCTTTGGTCTAGGTTACACGCCCACCAAAGAGGATTGGGTAAAAAAGGGAAAGGAAATAGCAGGAAGGGCCAAGGTTAAACAAACTGGGAAGCACTATGAGTTGGTGCATAGACTTATTCAAGGAACCCTGAATAGCCGCTTTGTCCGGGAGGGTGAGGATTTCCCATTTTGTGGCTTTCCTGAGCCATGGCTGAATTTTGAAAAACGACGTTTGCCCGGCTTCAAGATCTTTTTTGACCTACAGTTGCAAGGGGATGAACTTTCAGAAGAGCAGACTGACCTACCAGCTGAGGCTGAACAGTGCATAGAGGATGAGTCCGATGGCACAGAACTCGAAATAGGAGCAACGCTGTCTTGTCTCCTCTCAGATCCTTAGATCACACCAGAGAGCTTGGGGGATGACTTCTTTGTTTCCATGATTGGGGATCAAACAGCTGTGGACCCTTCTTTCGACATTCTGGATGCATCTATTGCACCTTCCCCCATTTGGCAGTTCGAGGAGGGTTTTTTGTCCAGCAGTTTTGAATCAGGTAGTGAACTGGAATTTGATTCCACAGAGTCTGTGGGGGTCGGAATCAGATTCTAGTTCTTCTGAGTCAGAGTCCGGTATTCCTAGGGTTGATAACCCGGATGTCGTTGTTTTGTCCATGTCGTCTTTTTCTTTTTCTTTTGAGTTGGTTGTAACCGAGGAATTGGACGAACTGGAAGTTGTGAATGAGAATGGTACTACTGCTATTTCTGAGTACTTTTCTGTGCCACTTGTTTACTATATTAATCAGGACTTTCAAAACTTTGATAAAAACGACGAGGAAGAAATTCCTTCGATTTTGAAACATTTGATTGATCGAGAGGAAGAGAGGTTTGTAAAACCTTTGGTTGATGAAATCGCTTCAATTAATATTGGTACTGAGAAGGATCCGCGTCTAGTCCAGATCGGGTCTACGTTGTCTTCGGAGGAACACGAACGCTTAGTCATTTTATTAAAAGATTTCAAAGATGTTTTCGGGTGGTCCTACGAAGACATGCCTGGAATCGATTCTGAGATTGTATAGCACCGGATCCCTTTTGACCCTAAGGCCCGACCAATCAAGCAGAAGTTTCAGAGAATACGCCCGGATTGGGCTCTGAAAACAACCAAGCAAATAGATGCAGGGTTCTTGCTAGTATCTGAGTATCCTACTTGGTTGGCCAACATTGTTCCGGTGCCGAAGAAAGATGACAGAATTTAGGTGTGTGTGGATTTTAGAGATCTGAACAAATCTAGTCCGAAGGACAACTTTCCTCTATCGCACATCGACGAATTAGTGGACTTCACCGCAGGCCATGCGCTGCTTTCCTTTATGGATGGGTTTTCCAAGTACAACCAGATCTTGATGGCACCCAAGAACAGAGAGAAGACTACCTTCACCACGCCGTAGGGAACCTACTACAACAGGGTAATGCCATTCGATCTGAAGAATGCTGGGGCTACTTATCAACGGGCTACAACTACAATCTTGCATGATATAATCCACAAAGAGGTTGAGGTGTATGTGGACGACATGATTGTCAAGTCCAAGGACAGAGAGGGCCACTATATCGCCTTGAAGAAATTTTTCTAAGTATCAGAGAGTATCAGTTGCTACTGAATCCTTAGAAATGTATTTTTGGTGTCACAGCAGGGAAAATGCTGGGGTTCTTGATTACATAAAGGGGTATTGAGGTTGATCCTTCCAAGATTAAGGCCATCTTAGAAATGCCACCACTAAGGACTAAAAAGGAGGTGCGAGGCTTTCTGGGTAAAGTGCAATTCATAAGATAGTTTATTGCAAAATTAACCTTGACTTGTGAACCACTATTTGGTCTCCTGAAGAAAGGAAAGAAATTTCAATGGGATGACTGATGCCAGGTTGCTTTTGAATAGATCAAAAAGTATCTACAAAACCCACTCGTGTTGTAGCCATTAGGCTGGGGAAGCCGTTGATTTTGTATCTGTCAGTAACCGACACGACAATAGGTTGCATGCTTGCATATGAATCTGAGGATAAAGTGGATAAGGCTATCTATTTCCTGAGCAAGAAGATGCTGGAATATGAGACCCGTTATACTCCGTTAAAGAAGGCTTGTTTAGCCTTGGTATGGGCTACCAGGAAGTTGAGGCACTACCTATTAGCTCCCTCCGTAATTCTGGTTTCGAGATTAGATCCCATCAAATATCTCTTCGAGAAACCAGCACTTACGGGTAGGCTAGCTTGTTGGTTGCTTCTTCTCTCTGAATTTGATTTGAAGTACATGACTCGCAAGTCTGTGAAAGGGAGAGCGGTAGCGGAGTTCCTAGCCAATCACCCAGTGGAGGGAGATAAAGCAGTAGAGTCTATGTTCCCAGATGAGGCCATTCTGCAAGTCGAAGAAGAGATTTGGACTATGTACTTTGACAGAGCATCTGACCAGTACAGGTATGGGATAGGGGTGTTGCTGATAGCACCCGACAATACCTACATACCTTTAGCTTTCAAACTCTGGTTTAAAGTATCGAACAATGAAGCAGAATACGAGGCATGTATCGCTGGCTTGGAAGCCACCCTAGAACTAGGGGCAAAACGGTAGGACGTCATTGGGGACTCTAATCTGGTTGTATCTCAAGCGAAAGGAGACTGGAAGTTTAAAGAAGAAAGAATGAAAATCTATCACCAAACCCTGGACATTCTAATTCCTAAGTTTGAGAAGCTAACCTTCACGCATCTGTTAAGAGAGAGAAACAGGTTCGCTGATGCTTTATCAACTCCATCTTCCATGATAGACATCCCTTTAGGAGTTCGGATGCGTCCAATCATTGTTGAACATAGGTATGTGCCGACTTATGAGTTAATCGCCATAATAGATGAAATACAAGATCAGAACCCCAGGTATCATGACATCTGAAACTTCTTGGAAAGTGAGGCTTATCCACCAGGGGCAAATGCCAAAGATAAAAGGGCAATACGACGAATGGCTACTCAATTTATCATCTGTGGGGGTAAATTGTACAAACAGGGCCATCTGGGAATGCATAAGCTGTGTGTTGATGCAGAAGAATCGAAACGCCTAATGGAGGCCATCCACGGAGGAGAGTGCGAATCGCACATGAGCGGAGTGATGCCAGCTCAGAAGATTCTCAGACAGGGTTACTACTGGTCAACCATGGAGGATGATTGTATTGGTTTTGTTCGGTGATGCCACAAATGCCAAATTCATGCAAATCGCATGAACATCCCGCCGTCGAAGTTGTATAACATGACTTCACCGTGGCCATTTTCAGTCTGCGGAATTGATGTTATTGGGGCAGTTACTCTGAAAGGGTCAAACGGGCATGAGTACATCCTGATGGCAATAGATTACTTTACAAAGTGGGTCGAGGCCCAATCCTACGCAGTACTGAAAGTGTCGCACGTAGCCAAGTTCATCAAGAATAATATCATCTGTCATTATGAGGTCCCGAATGAGATTATCTCAAACAATGGTTCCCACTTCAAGAAAGAAGTGATTGACTTGTTAGAGAAATACAACGTGGCTTTTCATAAGTCATCCACATATCAGTCGCAAACCAACAGAGCTGTTGAGGCCGCCAACAAGAACATCAACCACATTCTACAGAAGATGGTGGAAACTTACAGGGACTGGCCAGATAAGCTGCCATTTGCTCTTTAGGGCTATAGGACATCAATCCGAACATCTACTGGGACAACTCCGTATTCTCTGGTTTATTGGATGGAAACTGTTTTGCCGATCAAAGTTGAGGTTCCGTCACTGCGGGTTATGGCTGAGTGCCAGATAGTAGAAGCGGATTGGCATCATAGAAAGTTCGAGGAACTTATGCTGTTCGACGAGAGGAGGCTGAAAGCACTGTACCACATCTAAGGTTGTCAATGCAGGATTGCTAGGGATTTCAACAAGAAAGTTAAGTCCAAGAATCTGAAAGAACAAAAGGAAGTTGCCGGAGAGCACCGATACTAAGAATTTTGCTTAGGAATTGGGTAACTTGTGTACAATTGATACAGAACAGGAGGCCACACTAAAGTGGTTCGAACAGGAAAGAACTGAGATTGCTCAGAAAGCTAGAAAAGCCAAAGGTCCTGAGGGACTGACTGTGTTGCGGATACAGGAATCCCTACAATGGAACCGGACAGTTGTTTGTAGGTTGCCGAGGGAATGTGGTGGGAAGATGAAGATTTGCATCTCGCCCACACGGATGAGGATTGGGGACAAAATCTACCAAATGATACATGGTATGCCGAGGAAGTCGATCACATAACTCGGGGTGGGCCGTACTTTAAGCCCCCAAACTTGGACCGACTAGAGACGTCAGGGAAAGATAAGGAAGCTGAGAAATAGAAAGAGAAACTGTTAGAAGAGGAAGCTATACTGAAGTAGTTGAAGAAAATTCAGGCAGATATCTCCATTTGGGGTTTGCTCATGGCTTCAAGGGTGTATAGACAAGCCGTCCTATCAGTAATGGATAAGGCTAAGCTCTCGATTGACACAACCCCCGAGTAGTTAGTGGGACTGGTGTTCCCGGGAGGCGCTTTACCGACCTTGACTTTCACAGATAAAGAATTGCCGCCTCAGGGCTTTGAGCACAACAAGCCATTATACATCTCTATGGAATGTAAAGAAAAGTGGATACCAGTTGTCTTGGTTGATACTGGGTCTGTAATTAATGTGTGTCCGTCACGCAAGGCCTATGCTATCAGTTTAAAATCGGCAAACTTTGTACCATCAACCTAGGTGATTTGGGCTTATAACAATACAAGTCAGGAAGTGATGGGGATAGTGCGGATCAGAGCTTAGGCTGGCCCGGCACAACAGGATATTGAATTCCATGTCCTAGATGTCCCAGCCACCTTTAATTTACTCCTTGGACGGCCGTGGATACACCAAGTGAGAGCTGTCTCTTCCACTCTATATCAGAAGCTGAAATACCCCCATGGGAAGGGGGTAGCTATTGTTTTTGGAAACTTTTCCATACATCCACCGCCGGAGGTTACTATACCGGTCTTGAAAATCGTACACGGCGAGAGGGTGTCTTTTTGTTTGGGTTCACCTTAGCCGAGGCCCGGGTAGTATAGGATATTCTGGTTGTTGATAAGGGACTGTATGTTAGTGCTCAATTCGTCTACCTTATGAATAAGCTGCAACATGTACCCGGCATGGGATTGGGAAGAATCTGCCGGAAGGGCGTCGCTGCGTTGGCCGAAATGCCACACAACCCTTATACCTTTGGTCTAGGTTACACGCCCACCAAAGAGGATTGGGTAAAAAAGGAAAAGGAAATGGCAGGAAGGGCCAAGGTTAAACAAACTGGGAAGTACTATGAGTTGGTGCATAGACCTATTCAAGGAACCTTGAACGACCGCTTTGTCCGGGAGGGAGAGGATTTCCCATTTTGTGGCTTTCCTGAGCCATGGCTGAATTTTGAAAAGCGGCATTTGCTCGGCTTCAAGATCTTTTTTGACCTACAGTTGTAAGGGGATGAAGTTTTAGAAGAGCAGACTGACCTACCAGCTGAGGCTGAACAGTGCATAGAGGATGAGTCCGATGGCACAGAACTCGAAATAGGAGCAGCGCTGTCTTGTCTCCTCTCAGATCCTTAGATCACACCAGAGAGCTTGGGAGATGACTTCTCTATTTCCATGATTGGGGATCAAACAGTTGTGGACCCTTCTTTCGACATTCTGGATGCATCTATCGCACCTTCTCCCATTTGGCAGTTCGAGGAGGGCTTTTTGTCCAACAGTTTTGAATCAGGTAGTGAACTAGAATATTATTCCATAGAGTCTGTGGGGTCGGAATCAGATTCTAGTTCTTCTGAGTCAGAGTCCGGTATTCCTGGGGTTGATAACCCGGATGTCATTGTTTTGTCCATGTCGTCTTTTTCTTTTTCTTTTGAGTCGGTTGTAACTGAGGAATTGGACGAATTGGAAGTTGTGAATGAGAATGGTACTACTGCTATTTCTGAGTACTTTTCTGTGCCACTTGTTTACTGTATTAATCAGGACTTTCAAAACTTTGATAAAAACGATGAGAAAGAAATTCCTTCGGTTTTGAAACATTTGATTGATCAAGAGGAAGAGAGGTTTGTAAAACCTTTGGTTGATGAAATCACTTCAATTAATGTTGGAACTGAGAAGGATCCGCGTCTGGTCCAGATCGGGTCTACATTGTCTTCGGAGGAACACGAGCGCTTAGTCATTTTATTAAAAGATTTCAAAGATGTTTTCACATGGTCCTGCGAAGACATGCCTGGAATCGATTCTGAGATTGTACAGCACCGGATCCCTCTTGACCTTGAGGCCCGACCAATCAAGCAGAAGTTTCGGAGAATACGCCCGGATTGGGTTATGAAAATCAAGAAAGAGGTCACCAAGCAAATAGATGCAGGGTTCTTGCTAGTATCTGAGTATCCTACTTGGTTGGCCAACATTGTTCCGGTGCCAAAGAAAGATGGAAGAATTCGGGTGTGTGTGGATTTTAGAGATCTGAACAAAGCTAGTTCGAAGGACGACTTTCCTCTACCACACATCGACGAATTTGTGGACTTCACCGCAGGCCATGCGCTGCTTTCCTTTATGGATGGGTTTTTTGGGTACAACCAGATCTTGAGGGCACCCAAGAATAGAGAGAAGACTACCTTCACCATGCCATAGGGAACCTACTGCAATAGGCTAATGCCATTCGGTCTGAAGAATGCTGGGGCTACTTATCAACGGGCTACAACTACGATCTTGCATGATATAATTCACAAAGTGGTTGAGGTGTATGTGGACGACATGATTGTCAAGTCCAAGGAAAGAGAGGGCTACTATATCGCCTTGAAGAAATTTTTTCAATGAATCAGAGAGTATCGGTTGCTACTGAATCCTCAGAAATGTATTTTTGGTGTCACAGCAGGGAAAATGCTGGGGTTCTTGATTACACAAAGGGGCATTGAGGTTGATCCTTCCAAGATTAAGGCCATCTTAGAAATGCCACCACCAAGGACTAAAAAGGAGGTGCGAGGCTTTCTGGGTAAAGTGCAATTCATAAGACGGTTTATTGCAAAATTAACCTTGACTTGTGAACCACTATTTGGTCTCCTGAAGAAAGGAAAGAAATTTCAATGGGATGACCGATGCCAGGTTGCTTTTGAATAGATCAAGCAGTATCTACAGAACCCACCTGTGTTGTCACCACTAGGCCGGGGAAGCCGTTGATTTTGTATCTGTCAGTAACTGACACGACAATGAGTTACATGCTTGTGCAGGAATCTGAGGATAAAGTGGAGAAGGCTATCTACTACCTGAGCAAGAAGATGCTGGACTAGGAGACCCATTATACTCCGTTGGAGAAGGCTTGTTTAGCCTCGGTATGGGCTACCAGGAAGTTGAGGCACTACTTATTAGCTCACTCTGCAATTCTGGTTTCGAGATTAAATCCCATCAAATATCGCTTCGAGAAACCAGCGTTTACGGGTAGGCTAGCTTGTTGGTCGCTTCTTCTCTTCGAATTTGATTTGAAGTACATGACTCGCAAGTCTGTGAAAGGGAGAGCGGTAGCGGAGTTCCAAGCCGATGACCCAGTGGAAGGAGATGAAGCAGTAGAGTATCTGTTCCCAGATGAGGCCATTCTGCGAGTCGAAGAAGAGATTTGGACTATGTACTTTGACTGAGCATTTGGCCAGTACGAGTATGGGATAGGGGTGTTGCTGATGGCACCCGATAATTCCTACATACCTTTAGCTTTCAAACTTTGGTTTAAAGTATCGAACAACTAAGCAGAATACGAGGCATGTATCACTGGCTTGGAAGCCAACCTAGAACTAGGGGCAAAACGGTTGGACGTCATTGGGGACTCTAATTTGGTTGTATCTCAAGCGAAAGGAGACTAGAAGGTTAAAGAAGAAAGAATGAAAATCTATCACCAAACCCTGGACATCTTGATTCCCAAGTTTGAGAAGCTAACCTTCACGCATCTGTTAAGAGAGAGGAACAGGTTCGCTGACGCTTTATCAACTCTATCTTCCATGATAGACATCCCTTTGGGAGTCCGGATGCGCCCAATCATTATTGAACATAGATATATGCCGGCTTATGTGTTAATCGCCGCAATAGATGAAATACAAGATCAGAACCCCTGGTATCATGACATTTGAAACTTCTTGGAAAGTAAGGCTTATCTACCAGGGGCAAAAGCCAAAGATAAAAGGGCAATACGACGAATGGCTGCTCAGTTTATCATCTGCGGGGGTAAATTGTACAAACAGGGCCATCTAGGAATGCATAAGCTATGTGCTGATGCAGAAGAATCAAAACGCCTAATGGAGGCCATCCACAGAGGAGATTGCGGATCGCACATGAGCGAAGTGATGCCAGCTCAGAAGATTCTCAGACAGGGTTACTACTGGTTAACCATGGAGGAGGATTATATTTGTTTTGTTCGATGATGCCACAAATGCCAAATTCATGCAAATCGCATGAACATCCTGCCGTCGAAGCTGTACAACATGACTTCACCGTGGCTATTTTCAGTTTCGGGAATTGATGTTATTGGGGCAGTTACTCCGAAAGGGTCAAACGGGCATGAGTACACCCTGGTGGCAATAGATTACTTTACAAAGTGGGTCGAGGCCCAATCCTACACAGTACTGAAAGCGTCGCACATAGCCAAGTTCATCAAAAATAATATTATCTGTCGTTATGGGATCCCGAATGAGGTCATCTCGAACAATGGTTCTTACTTCAAGAAAGAGGTGATTGACTTGTTGGAGAAATACAACGTGGCTTTTCATAAGTCATCCATATATCGGCCGCAAACCAACAGAGTTGTTGAGGCCGCCAACAAGAACATCAACCACATTCTACAGAAGATGGTGGAAACTTACAGGGACTGGCCAGATAAGCTGCCATTTGCTCTTTAGGGCTATAGGACATCAATCCGAACATCTACTGGGGCAACTTTGTATTCTCTGGTTTATGGGATGGAAGCTGTTCTGCCGATCAAAGTTGAGGCTCCGTCGCTGCAGGTTATGGCTGAGTACCAGATAGTAGAAGCGGATTGGCAACATAGAAAGTTCAAGGAACTTATGCTGTTCGACGAGAGAAGGCTGAAAGCACTGTACCATATCTAAGGTTATCAACGCAGGATTGCTAGGGATTTCAACAAGAAAGTTAAGTCCAAGAATTTGAAAGAAAGGGATTTGGTACTCAAAGACAACCGAGCTCCCATCCACAACCCCAGGGGCAAGTTCAGACCTAATTGGATTGGTCCTTATATCATCAAATCTATCTGATCTGGTGGAGTTGTCATTCTTATGGACTTAGATGGCCTCGAATTCTCCCAACTAATCAACATGGACAAGTTGAAGAAATACTACCCTTGAGTGGCTCGCTAGACCGAAAACCCGAAAAGGCGACCCAGGCAAACGTTAGAGCACAAAAAATTAGAAATAAGAAAAACTGAGCTCGCAAGGTTAAAAACCCAAAAAGGGCGGCCTTGGCAAAAGTTAGAGCGCAAAAGGAGAGTGTTAATACCCGAGTGAACCCGAACCGAACTACGTAAGGCTTGATTCCAATCTTCGGGATACGTAGGCAACTTTATTCTGAAGTCTAGCTATATACACTTCTAAATCAACTGTGTCCATGTGATTGTTTTAGTCATCTTTGTCTTTTCCGCATCCAAGAGTTCGGTTGTGATCTTTGCTATCAGAGCTGGTTACAGTGCAGTGCTCTTCAGATAAGGGGCAACTTTCCAGTTATTGGGTTCGGAGTTGTACATCTCAAGGGTAGATTTCGGGTGTGTCCAATTGTGATCCTTATTGAAAATCGTTTTGAAAAGTTTTAATAAAAGTTGATTTTGTTCAAATTAATCTTTTTACAACTTAGACCATTTTTGGCCCAAAAGGAAAATTTTCAGTATCCATAACCTTCAATTTCATTGATTTCAATACAAAGCTCTCTAACTCTTGATACAAATTGAAGTTGCTCTTTATTACATTCAAAAGGAAAACTTGAAAGTACAGATTAAAGCAATAAACTTGGGGCATAGTTAAGTCAGGTGTTCCTGCGTCCCCTCCTAGAGCTTGTGAAAGCTTTAGATGCTAAAATAGGCCCGGTTTGTGTCTCATTTTCAAGCCAAGGTATGCATTCGCCAGAAAGGGCACAACTGATATTGGAAGCAGGGGCTAGAAGTTCTCTTGTCCTCCATGCAGTGGAATACCGAGCTAGCTGTGAGCCTCGGATCGGAAATGAAGCTAGGTACTTTATCCCCTCTTCTGGGCAAGTCTGGTCCTGTCCAAACTGACGCCTGAATCGGAAGGGAAAATAGAAGACACAGTGTGTCAAGCCAATCAACTGAATGCCAGGTTGTCGAGACATGTTGTAACTCATCTCAAGCAGATTAAACCAGGGGCAATGCCAAGCAATGTCGATGGCAGATCTATTGCACATCCAATGGTACCACCACCCCTCGTTCGAGAAATCGATTATCCGTTGGCGAAAGAAATAATCGCGCGCTGAATACGCAGGGCAAGCGTCCACTGCTTTCAACTTATCCATGAGCTATACCTAGAGAGGGATGAAAAATAAGAGAGATTAAAGAATAGAGAGGTGTATGTGGA